GAACCAGACATTGCTTTCCTAATGGCTAGCCAGTCATCTGCATTGCTCACTTTTTCCCTGCTGATTTGGAAAATTCTTTAATCATGCACCAGAATCCCACCTGCATGTGATGTGGTCCTGATGCTTATAAGGGGGTCTCATGGCATGGGTGCTGTGATAGGTGGTGAGCAGGTTTCTGTTCCTTGCTCTTATTGGCATATGGTATTTTTCTGGCTCTTCAGTTGTTCTGGATGAGTTTTGGAATCTTTTTGCTTCTCCCCCTCTGCCCAGATTTGCTTTGGGTTTGCAGATTTGCACTGAGTTTATGGATTTCATTTAGAATAATTGATATTTGGGTCACGTGGAGTCTTTTCCAACAACACATTATGTTTGTGCATTTATTTAAGTCTTTCTTTGTATTCTGTTTTTGTTTCTGAGACGGAGTCTCGCTCTGCCGCCCAGGCTGGAGTGCAGTGGCGCAATCTCGACTCACTGCAAGCTCCGCTCCCTGGGTTCACGCCATTCTCCTGCCTCAGCCTCCCAAGTAACTGGGACCACAGGCGCCCGCCACCACGCCCAGCTAATTTTTTGTATTTTTTAGTAGAGACGGGGTTTCACCGTGTTAGCCAGGATGGTCTCGATCTCCTGACCTCGTGATCTACCCTCCTTGGCCTCCCAAAGTGCTGGGATTACAAGCGTGAGCCACCACGCCTGGCCCTTTGTATTCTTTTTATAGTTCAATAGTTTTCTTCATTTAGGTCCTGTGAATTTCTTATTAAATTTATCTTCAGGAGTTTTTATGTGTTCTATTAACATCATTTTCTGTTGTATTTTCAAATTTATCTTTTTCTTCCTATATGGGAAAGCTTTTGGTTTTTAAATGTAATTTGGAATCTGGCAAACTTATTGAGCTATTAACTACTTTTTAAAAACACTTAAGATGGCCAGGCACAGTGGCTCACGCCTATAATCCCAATACTTTGGGAGACCAAGGTGGGTGGATCATCTGAGGTCAGGAGTTCAAGACCAGCCTGGCCAACATGGTGAAACCCCATTTCTACTAAAAATATAAAAGTAGCTGGGTGTGGTGGCACACGCCTGTAGTCCGAGCTACTCGGGAGGCTGAGACAAGAGAATCACATGAACCCAGGAGGTGGAGGCTGCAGTGAGCCAAGATCGTGCCACTGCACTCCAGCCTGGGCAAGACAGAGTGAGACTCTGTCTCAAAAAACTAAATAAATTAAATAAAATGCTTGAGACGTACTGTATTATACTATTATAGTTGGTACCATCTAATGCTTAATATCATCTTTCTCAAATTAAGAAAAATGCATACCCAATAAAATAATTCAAAGTCTAGAATTCCATCATTCAGTATGGTAGCCACCACTCATGTGCAGCTGTTTAAATTTATTAAAACTAAATGCAACTTACAGCCAGTCATGGTGGCATAAACCTAGAGTCCCAGCTACTTGGGGAGGCTGAGGCGGGAGTTCGAGACCAGCCTGGGCACATAGAGACCCTGTCCCTTAAAAATAAATGAATAAAATTATTTCCTCAGTTTCCTTGGCCACATTTCAAGTGCTAAATGAAGCCTAGTGACCACCAAATTGGGCAGCACACATAGAGAACATTTCTGTCAGCTCTGGCTTAGAGACTGGATACAAAGTGGAAGAGCCTCCTCCATGTTCCCCACCTGCACGTTCATGCTGCAGACCTGATGCTCTGGGTTTCTGTTTTTACCTCATCTGGTGGGTAGCGGAGTCACTCGAACAACATGCTTGTATCTTTTATTAATTCACCAATGTTAGTATTTACGGACTTCCATCATCAGAGATGTACAACTGGCTCGTTCACACTACCCTCTTTCCCTCTCCCAATTTTTTAATTATATTTTTTCCTCCAAAGATTTCCTTTTGAACTTGAAATTACACCATAGTCCTCATGTTTTTATGTGTATTTAAAGGAGTACTCTGGGTTCAGAGTCTTTCAAAGGGGATCTGGAACTCAGAACCTGTGGAGATGATGTTTGCCTCATTCTCTGAGCTGTGGTTGTGTAGCTCACACGCAGCCTTCCAAAGCAGGTTCTCGTACCAAATTCCTGTTGATTTTAAGACACACCATTAATTTGATAATGAAAATTTAAAATGGAAACATAGGTCTTGAGACTCATTCTGATCTCAGAAATGTGAGAATGTGGAAAAACTGGCCCCTGGGTGTCCAGCAAGTCCCAGCCCCTTTGGTGGTCAGCTGCCCTTCGCTCGTTCCATCTTGTTAGGAATGCAGGATCTTTTTTGTTATGGTGAAGAGTGTTCGTCTCTACTCACAATGTTGCTTTTATAAATTAGTAATGGATTTTTCAAGTACTTTTCAGTATCTTCCACATGATGCCATAGTTTTTGTCCCTTTGAACTGTTAACATGGTTGGAAAATATGAGCAGTTTCTGTGTTGTGAGCCGTTCTCACTTGACGAGAATGATCCCCATTTAGTATAAACCTGAATGTACTTCTGGATTTATTTTTTATTTAGGTATTTTTCTTGTGGTAAAATATGCATAATATACCATTTTAACCATGTTGAAGTGTACGGTTCAGTGGCATTAAGCACATTCACATTGTTGTGCAGCCATCACCACAATCTGTCTTCAGAACTTTTTCAGCATCCCAGTAGACACTCTGTACCCATTAAACAGTTATTCAGTGTTCTACTTTATGTCTTTATGAATTTGCCTATTCTAAACACCTCATATAAGCAGAATCATGTGTCTGGCTATTTGACTTAGGTTTTCAAGATTTGCCCGTGTAGCATGTATCAAAAGTTAATTCCTTTTTTATGGCTGAATATTCCATTGTGTGATTTTGTTTCGCCATTCATCTGTTGATGGACATTTGGGTTGTTTCTACTTTTTGGTTGTTGTGAATTGTGCTGCCATGAACAAGTGTCTGTCTGAGTCCCTGTTTGGTTCTTTTGGGGCTATGCCTAGGAAGAGAATTACTGGGCCATATGGTAAGTCTAGGTTTAACTTTGTGAGGAACCAGATGTTTTCCACAGCAGCCGCACCATTTTATGTTCCCACCAACGGTGCATGAGGTTTCTGCTTCCTCTGTATCCTTGCCAGCACTTGCTATTTTCTTTTTCTTTTTTTTTCTTTTGGCAGTAGCCATTCCTCGTAGTTGTGAGGTAGTATCTCACTGTGGTTTTGATTTGCATGTCCCTAATGATTTGTGAGGGCATCTTTTCGTGTGCTTATTGGCCGTCTGTATATCTTCTTGGGAGAACTGTCTACTCAAATCCTTTGCCTGTTTTGAAATTAGGTTGTTTTCTTGTTGTAGGAATTCTTTATATATTCTGGATATTAATCTCTCATCACATACTTGATTTGCAAATATTTTCTCTCATTTTATCAATTGTCTTTTCACTTTCTTCGTAGTATCCTTTGATGCACAGATGTTTTAAATTTTGGTGGAAGTCTAATTTGTCTCTTATTGCCTGTACTTCTGATGTCACAGTCAAGATACCATTGACTAATCCAAGAATATTAAGATTTTTTTCTACTAAGAGTTTCATAGTTTTTGCTTTTAAATTTAAGTCTTTGATTCATTTAAAAAAATACTTTTTGAGACAGGATCTCACTTTGTTGCCCAGGCTGTGGTGCAGCAGCACAGTCACAGCTCACTGCAGTCTCAACCTCCCAGGCTGAAGTGATCCTTCCACCTTAGCCACCTGAGCAGCTGGGACTACGGGTGTGTGTCACCTCACCCAATTTTTGTATTTTTTGTAGAGATGGGGCCTCCCTATGTTGCCCAGGCTGGTCTCGAACTCCTGGGCTCAAGTGATCCGCCCACCCCATGTCTTCCCAAATGCTGGGATTATAGGGCTGAGCCACCACGGCTGGCCTCTTTAATCCATTTTGAGTTAATTTTTGTGTATGGTGTAAGATGAGGGTCTAACTTTATTATTTTGCCCATGGTTATTTTTCCCAGCACTATTTTTTTTTTAAAAGACTGAACAATTGCAGTTTATCGAATGGTCCTTGTCAAAAATCAGTTGACTGCACATGCAAGGGTTTATTTCTGAACTCTCTTTACTATTCCATTGGTTTATATTTCTCTCCTTACACTGGTGCCACACTAGTTTGATGACTGTGACTTTGTAGGAAGTTTTGAAATCAAGGGGTATGAGACCGTCAATTTTGTTACTCCTTTTCAAGACCATTTTGGCTATTCATGGTCCCTTGAGATTCCATTAGAATTTTAGATGGGTTTTTCTATTTATATAAAAATAGACCCATAGGACTTTGATAGGGATTGCATTGAATTTGTTGGGGTTTTTTTT